GGAGGCTCTCACCGTTTGTCAAAATTTGGACACTTTTCAGAAGTTGACCTATGTTGAACATTTAGCTAATTAAGTAGAACTGATGGAAACCACTATATTTACAACTACTGTGGTCGGGCTGGTTTGTCGACAAATTCCATAGCCCAAATTGTCACAATAATATGGTACCTTTGAGTAGACACTCAACAGACACCGGTCCCTTTTTTCCATCGTCTGGTACAGCCTGTCCATAATATCTGTATTATACTTGGCTGAAATTAATTGTCACCATTTCAGACTTGATATTGATCAAATGTTATGTGGCAGTTCATAGGTTTTTTTAAAGTACAATACAGGTTAAAATTGATTGAAGATAGCCTGAAAGTGGAGATAAACTATATCTAAAAGTGCTTAAGAGTGGTTGTCAGAGAAAACCGGGCAAAATGTTAAAAATGTCAACGGAAGGGGGTCAACAGAATTAGTTCATACTAACATCGTAGAAAGGTTAGGTGGAGTTATGAACAAATATACCAAACATAAGTCCTTTACTGCTCTTGTATTAGAGATACGAGCATCACTTTATTTGACCGACTGGGGCGCCATTTTTACTAGCAAATTTTGTCAATTTTCTGAAACTCATAGAATCCTTAAAATTGGACGACCGATGTTTATATTTTTTATACGATACAATACAACACAGGACTACTTTCTAAAACCATGATCTTTGTTAGACAGTCCCGGGCAGGGCTAAAACATTTCAACTTTTCCTGACCTAAACTCAGTGGGCCATTCCATTTAATATCCACACCCCCCCTATGGATGAGATTTTCTGAGGGGGGCTCCCAGTGAAGGTGAATTTCTGAGGGGTCATCATCGGCCATCAGTCTTCATCGGCTGGAGAGTGAAAATTGCAAATCACGTGCGTTGAGTCACGTTGAAATCGTCTGTCCCTAGGGACGAAATAGGTGCTCCCCTAAAAAACTCCTGCGTGGGTGTCTACGCAACAATAGACATACAAAAAGGATACATATATTTAAATGTTTGTTTCATTTAGAGGCCTTTCTTTTGTTTTTGTTTTTGTTGTATTTTGTTTTGTTTTTTTTGCTAAATCGCAATGTGAAGTAGTCGTTAGGCTTTATTTTAAAAGGTCCAATTACTCACAACAACAGCTTCAATAAAACAACAGTTTCAAAGGAGTAAGGAGTCTATCTTTTTGTCGAGGGTCGAGGGTACAAAGTCGAGGGTCGAGGGTACCGTCAAGGGTAACTTTTTTTTAATGTGTTGTTGTTGTTGAATTGAAATAGTACGTGAACATTCGAATTCGTTGAAAGCAAAGAACCTTTTCCGTCGCACTGTAGTTACTAGTGGGAGTCAATTGTCGTTGTTTTGACACATTGACAACTAACAGAAAACATAACTCTTCGTCGTCCGATCATAGGATCGTTTTCCTCCTTTTCCAGTTTCAGGAGGATGGGAGAGATAAAGAAAATAAAGTGCTTGGGAGTAAGGGTAACTCCGAGGGTGAAGGTAAGGGTGAGGGTGAGGGTAAGGGTGGGGGTGAGGGTAAGTGCTCGGAGAATAACAAGCCTCTGACTGTACTTGCCTGGGTAGATGGGTAGACTGTAATTGGCTCGCCTGTAAAAAGTTCCCGTAAAAACGTTGAAATGGCGAAGGATCATAAGCTTGTGAATTGCTCGCCTGAATAGGGTTTTCGTAAAAACGTTGAAATGGCGAAGAGTAGTAGCAGCCCCGTCCGTTCACAACGAAAGACCGAACGTCAGAAAATTTCTGCGATTGTTTCAAAGATCTTCAAACTGATCGTGTTTCACATTGATCACGTTTCCCTGACAAGCGCTGACAGTTACCGTTGTGATTCCTATTGTTTAGCTCGAGATTTCCAAAATCTACCTGCCCCACCCAAGCACTACGGCATCTTTGGTGTATTTTGCGATTTTCAAAGTTTTTTCCAACTTGAAAACTTGGGGTCGCAGTTGGCAATGTGCCCCGATAATAGATTTCTAACGCAAGGTAAACAAATTCTTCCAAAAATTTGCCAAGTGCTACCCATGCCTTTGGCTAATATTTCAGTCACGTCTGCCTCTTCTCTGCCTTATATGCATTCAGTGGGGTAGTTTGAATATGGATATTTCACCGATTCTTATTTTGCTATCTTGTACGCGTTGGAATTGTCGTGCTTTAAAGTAGAAACGCGCCATGAAATTTTAACGCAAGTCATCGCCAATCACCGACACCAGAAATCGTGACCTACAATAGGTACGTAGGTGCGCAGAATGATAATTTAGATGGTTGATGCTATGGCCAAGTTGCCCCACAAATATATACTCCTTCAATTATCAAATTTCTGCATCTCAAAAAGTATATCACTGCAGAAAACTGAAACACAAAGGGAACGCAAAACCAACACTTGTTGGTGCAGTCAGAGTAACTTGATACGTCGGTAAAGACAACTTGTTGACAGTTTACCTAGGGAAACTTGATTTCTTAAGTGTGACCGATTTTTCCCTAGGTAACTTACCTCGGGGAAATTTTATCGTCTGGGTCTTGGATATGTCTCGAAAACAATAGAGTTTCCCTTGACAGCGACCCCAAAGCAATAGCTAGGGAGAAAATGAAATACTGAGGTTGCTAGCCAATAGACGCTCATCGGCGAAGGTCTTGATGACAGAACCGGACATAGATCACCGTCGCTGTGAGAGAAATTTTGAGAGCACAAGTCGTCTACGTCTTCGCCTTTCTTCACCTTGCACGTTGAATTAGCGTAAGAAATAACACCGAGATAAAAGAAAAAAAAACTTCTCTTTGATCAGCTTGATCCCTACGCATTTTGCCTTCTTGAATTTACGCTCGAAAAAATTCAACCGGCGTGAAAATATTGGGAGCCGATATCAGTAGTGTGACCTTCCCATAATTTTTACCTAGGTAAAACAAAATCCGAGCTGAATTTACTTAGGGAGATTTTTGATGAATTTGCCCTGGGTAAAAAGGGTTTACCTAGCTAAAAGTCTGTAGTGTGACCACAGCTAGTGTGATGATAGGAAGTCATTTGGCAGAACTAATTTTAAAATCAGAGGTGTCTCATTGCAGCAAAAAACTCTCTTTCACAACGGCTTCAGCGACTATTTCCGATTTTGCTCAAAAAGGTGAGCTTTTATTCACGAACAGCGATCAGATCGAATTAGACGATTATGCTAACTTCCGATAAACTAAAATCATTTTTAAGCGATCGTCCAAAAATAATAAAAAAACATCAAGTGAAACGTGACGACCCTGAGTTAAACAGAGCGACTAATCTAAGCCCCCCACCCAGACTAAAAATGACAGACATAAGACAAGACCCACCAACAAGAAATAAAAATAAAGTCTATATAATACTTCCCCCTATGTTCACAGGGTAGAACAAAATTCAACCCCCCCCCCCCC